AGGCAAACCTCAGTCTTTGCTATGAGGAGCAAATTTTACTGTCTTGTTTCATAAACTTTGGAAGACTTTTTTTCTTGAACTTTGTATTACTGTACTAGACAAGAGATTACAAACAACACAGCTCTGAGGATAGTTTTGTTCTCAATTCTAGAGGAACGTGTATGCTATTACACTTGATGTTTGTTTGGTGTGACTTCGGTTACAGTAAAGGTCCAGGCTCATAATTACATCAATGTTGGGAGCAGACTTTGATGAATTGTCAATTCAATTTGGTGGCAGAGGCAGGATGTAAGCCAGCCAGTCATGAACCGCTCACATCTGTCATGGCAGGGGAGGCACACATTGTGAAATAACTGGGGACTGATCAGTATTCATAGCTTAGGGATGACACACTAAGGGCTGTCCATTATGTGTGCCAGGCTAAGATTGTAGCTGTGTATTAGATTGTCAAGAAGATATAGAATGATGGGTTATTTTGTAGTAGCAATATTGTAAAAAGCGTGTGTCTATGTGGGAGATTATACAGTAATCCCCTGTACTGAATTTAGATAGTAAATCTCACAGGTGAACTTGATAAGGGCACTTTAGTCAATACCTTTGTGTCCTTGAAAATGGCATGACCATGTAGATTTGCACTGCTATGCCACATGAAATTGAATAGATAGTATTGTTGTGAACTTCTAATTCTCCTTCTTAGCTCAGCTCAAATTCCATTGATGAGAGGGGGTGAAGAATTACAAGCAAGAGTAAAATGTTTAAAGAGTGACACTGAAACAAATGATGAAACCAGTATGCTAAATCAGTAAATGTAAGCTTGCATTGTTTGATTTTGTACATTTTTACCATTGTGATTTTTAGTGTAGGTCCCATGCCCGTAGCCAGGGGGGGTTCGGGGGGTTCGGAAGAACCCCCCCACAAGGCTCAAAGGTCCACTTTTTGGTCCACTTTTTATGTAAAGGTCCACTTTTTGGTCCACATTTTAAGTAAAGGTCCACTTTTTGGTCCACATTTTATGTAGAAAACTGCTCCCTTTGTCATTGAATAAAAATCTATCTCTGATTTTTTCTTGGAAATCCTCTTGAAAATGCACGAAATGCCATTTTAGAAGGTTCATTTTTCAAAATTTTCCGGGGGAGCATGCCCCCGGACCCCCCTAGGAACCTCGTGCCTTCGGCGCTCGCCTCGCGCGTACGGCGCTCGAGGTCCCCTCAAGCAGCGGGAAGAACCCCCCCATTCAAAATCCTGGCTACGGGCATGGGTCCTTCCTTTGCTAGATGGATGAGATTTTACATACATTTCTTGCCTCATAATCTTCTGGCTCTGATCAGTTGCTGTACAACCTTGAGAGTGTTGCCATATTTGCAAAGATTGACTTCAAGCCCAAAGTTTTACAGCTCTACTCACTCAAAGGATTAGCTTCTAATCCTAGTAATATACCAAAGTGCTTTGCTTCATTATGGGTTACGTAATTTTATGTTCAGGTAGAGATTGGGTATTGCAATACATTTTTATGTTGATAAAAGTTACGGTGTTGGCAAGCACATATATACATAGCTTCAATATGTCCATACTGTGCCAAAGAGTGACTTACTAGAGATCATAACTTTTCATAACATACTTGACTAAAAGTAGCTTGCTGTGAACTATCCAAATGTATATTTACTCCTAAATATAACACTGCATTTGGTAGTTTTCCCTAATTTCTATTTTTGTTTGCGAGTTACAATTTGCAGGTGGACATTTTAAGTCCAGGTCAGGGAAAGTATGCAAGACTTCTGTATCATGTAAATCTGGACATTCCAACTCATCTCCCATGACTGCTGACTGTATCACTTTTGTTTATCCTGACCCTGAAATGTAAACAAGCATGGCTGCCACCTAGGGGGTGGGGCATCCCATTGTACATATTCACAATATTCATTAGGCATGGGGAGCATCCATTTGTGAAAGGGGGTCATTATATGAACTTGCACCCAATTATTTGATCGTTAGCAGTTTGTAAAGCAATTAACAAGTCACTCCTCCACTTTCTCATTCCATTCCAGGCATGTTTCCTCTGTTTTTGTAAGCATTCTCACACTGTTTGAATGGCAACCGTTCATCCACTAGTCAATGACCCCCTTTGAAAAGAGAGATCTGTAAATGGGAAGAATTCTGTGAAGAATGCAGCATGGAATTTCAATGGATGAGTGTTCATTTGGGTCAGAGAAGAGTTTGAAAAGTTCCAAGTTAGGAAGAAAACATTTGGAAAGTTCCATGTAATAAGTGAAGTGTATTGTTTGGTAAAGAGACAGTTTGGTAAAGAAATAATTTTGTTAGGAAAAGGATTTGGAGTAGGAGTTGAGTGAAATATTAAAATGACATAAGATTTCCTGCTATGTACTGTTTTTATGTCACATGTCTCGGAAATACGCTTCTTACACAAGATGTTGTGGTTAATTTTTGGTACCAATTAGGACCATACTATCCTGGCAGGTGTAAGGGTCTAACAGCCCCAAGTCTGTCCACACAACAAGAAGTTAGTACCAAGCAGTGCCAGAACAAAAGGGGGCAAATTCCTTGGTGCCCTTGTCCACATCAAGTTTCTGCTTGGCTTTTACAGTGACATTGGAGCATTCAAGCATGGGCAATCCTGTAATGGGGCCACTGAATGCCGTGCACTAACAACCGATATGTTTCTTGGGTCTAATGGGAGGTATAGGATAGCCTCTCTAAGTTTCTCACAATTACAGGTTCACTGCTAGGTCCAGTAAGTTTACATATGTACGTAGCTCTTTTTGCAAAGATATAGGTGTAGTCACAGTCACTTGCATTTTTTTCAAGATTCTTTGCATTAATAAAGATGAATGATTAAGATAACTGATTATCAGAATTGATCAAGTTGTCATGGCAACAGAACTGACGTAACTGATAAAATCCATGACTGACTCAATAGTAGGCAGATACGGTTGTTACTGTTAATTATTCTATTCCCTCTTGCAAGGGTAGTGTCCCCACAGTGTTTTTGTTGGAAGCCCCTGTTATGAAATATTTGCTATGTGATTGTGCCTTGTTGTGTGATAAAATATTGGCGTGTCTCGTGGCCAAACAGGTGCTTGTTTTATGGTGGCATATATTACATGGCAATTGTCACCACGGGACAGTAATCAAATCAAGGGTATTGGATTGCAGCCAGGAGAGATATGTATGCAATTATTTCTCTAATCCAGAAGACCTGGTATTTTAAATTAGATTTGAAATGTAGGCAATATCTGAAGTATTTGTTTGGTTCAGCTTCTGCATAGGATGATTTCTCTAGAGAATAGTTGAGTTTTTGTTATGATTATACACTATTGTCTAACAGTTTGGAGCCGCTGAAAAATACCCTTAACTCATTTCAATTGTAGCTTTGAAGGTTTACATAACATTTTGGTCACATTAGCATAATTTTGAGGATCACAAATTCATAATGGATTTCATAATGATTTCATGCTTTTGCAAAATAGACTTGATATAGCACTATATGCTAAAGAATTGAATATGAATTATGATATGCCTGACAATTTTTTTTCTTATTGCATAGGACCTGGAGTTCCATGGCGTCATGCGTTTTTTCCACCAAGACACAGACTCGAAGGAGAGAGTCACCACCAAGTGTATCCGTGTGTCCAGTACGGCTACGACTGCAGCCGTTATCGAGACGTTGGTGGAGAAATTCCGCCCAGACATGCGGATGTTGACTACGCCTGTATATGGCCTGTATGAAGTTCATGCAAATGGAGGTGAGATTTTTAGTTATTATTATTATATATTAATAAAATTATTATATTATTCATAGCTGTGTATTATAGATATAATGCAATTATTATTGACATCAACAAGTTATACTGTACATCAAAACATGGCCACAACTAAAGAATTATAGTCTTTGATTTTGAAGTGTCCATTCATTTCGAAAATATTTGTGAATTTTGAAAAGCTGTTGAGACTTGTCACCACCCTTTGTATGAAGTCTTGTGCTTGTCAATCATCATTGAGAGATGGAATGTTATTGGACGTGGGGAGATGTGATTGGAATAAATAATCAGGCACATTCTTTCATGTTCGGAGTTTCATGTTAGCAAACTTCTTAACAAAGCACCATTGTTTTATCCATTGATATTTCTGTGATCTGTTGTTTGGATGTGAGCTGCTAGGGGGCTCAATGCTTAGTCATTTATTTGTGTCGAGCTATGCCCTCAAAGAAAAAAAATAGTGAAAGTGTTTATGTGACTTTTCAAAATTGCAAACCATTCTCGACTCAACCTAGCAACTAACCAACAAACAAACCAATGCTGTTGAAGCTATGCCCTATTTTGCCAATGACCCCTGTACAGGACCCTGAATAGGCTGCTGACTGAAGACACATGTCCCATGTCACTGCCCACACACTGCCACTAACACAAACTCCTTTTCACAGAGGAAAATCACATTCTTCACCCTGCATACCTTTCCCTACACTACAACCTTGGCCTGTCAGTGGGGCATACCTAAACATTCCATGTTGTTCATTTCCCTGTAAACAGGAAATTTTTCATTTTGAAATCTTTCTGGAATATGTTTCTAGTGACTCAGAAAAGCTGTTCATGAAAAAAAAAATTCAAAACCACTGTTATTCTTTCAAAGCATAACGAATTGAGGAATTAGACTAATTTTCTGGTCTAATTTCCTGCTTCCACACTAGACAAAAGTTATCTGTCTAAAAGATAAATATCTCAGGGGAATATGACTCTTACCAATTACATTGTAGCCTTTCTTTGCTGTGTGTGTATACAACAGTAGGAGGAAATCTTCCCTTTAAATAAATTATGGTACTTGTTTGCTTTGAAGCCTTTTGTCCTGTGATTGTAAAAAAAGATAAGTCCTATTTGTTACAGTTTCCTGAAATATCACTACGTTAGCAAAATGTATTTTGACAAATATGAATAAAACATGATAGAGAAAAGCATCTGCTTTCATGTGATATGTACAGGTAGTTCTTTTTACTGTCACTGTTTGGAAAGTGTGACTTTCAACATGGTAGCTTTGAAATGTAAAAAGACATTCCAGGTTTAACTGACCAGCGTTTAAAATCGCCCCCCTCGTAAAGTCAAGGGCATGCAGCCCTACCATATCTCCTGATGGTGTGACTTCCGCTGGGTTGTTTTGAAAGCTCAGTGTCCAGTGTTCAGAATGACAGGAATGTTTGTCAGGGTGAAGTAAAGGACATATGCTGGGGGCTCACAGATATATGGGCTGACCCCTGCCTAATTGAGTAAAGTGTGAAGGATGGAAAGTCATGTTGGAAGTGTAAAACTATCACTAGTATCAGTATCCCTTTCTAAATTCTGTTTTTGGCCAGTTTCGCTGCGAAAAAACAAACTGTCCTTTACAAGAGAAGCAGTTCTATTCATCAGCAATGACGGAGCCTCAGAGGTGAAGAAAGTTGAATTAAAAACATTTTACAGTATGTGAAATTATTAATATTTGGAGACTGAACAGCTGTCAAAATTAAATTGCATTACCTCATGATTCAACAACCTTGCTTTTACAGTTGTCAACCTTTGGACACTCTAAATCTTGATCTGCTGGGTATATCCGATATATTATTTGTTTACTGCTTTCCATTAACTATTTAATTCTCTTCTACTTCTCTTCAAGACAGTAAACTTTTGTTTCTCCCATGTTGTATAAAGCTCTACCCAGTAGCAGTTCACTGACAGATCCGTCCCTAAGCAGGGTGGCATGTTTATAGTTGTTGTCCCTCTGCGGGCAGGTAACCTTGTCCCATATGGTCTAACAAGGCTCCCCTGACGCCCACTGCCTAATCCTGCCTCTTCTAACATGGCCACCACAGCTAGCAAACAACTATACATATATCTCACTCAGACTGACAGCAAGTATCTCAATTATTTATACAAGAAAGCATAGTTCAACTTCTTAAAGTTAAGTTCTGTAGTAATTACGAGAATGCTGAATGTGAAGCGTAGGGCTAAGGTTGTCCTGAGAAGTGGCATTGTCTGGAATGAACAGTAAACATGCCTCATGGTGAAAGTAAATAAATCAGTATCCCATTCTTGATGGGAACCAGGTTGAGAATGGAAAACCCAAGGCTTAGCTCTAAGCAACTGTTTAGGATTGTTCAAAATCAAAGGAAAGTTACACCGACTGGTTTTGATTTATCACCTATTTCTGTAACATTATGTTCAATAGTAAATTTGAGGATGAAAATAAAGCAAGTGCAGGTGCAAAAGTCTAATTTATCATTTCTCTTTGTGAGCTTGATATGATAACGTCATACCTTGTATTGATAGCATTTTCATTGTTGCAATGCCAAAAACATTCATATACAAATTGAGTTAGCTCTCACTATCATGATATTTTTGCCTGATTGTCAATTAAATGCTTACCAGCTCCAAAACCTTAGTTTGAGGAGAAGATGTCTGTTAGAACTTAGATTAGAACAGACATCTTGCCTTCGAATCAAGTCAAGAGTTTCTGTTTGTCTGTAGCAGGAGATTGATAGCTGTTGAAAGGGATAGCATGTGCCAGGTTGTGCCCTGTTACAAGCCAGACTTTTCTGTTATCACTAGTCATGTGTGTGTGGTAAACATCATGTTCAAAAGTGGGGATTTAACTTGATACAGAACAAGGTGATGGTTTGGATCAGTGTTTCTAGAACATAGGTTGTTCTCCTTCTGAAATATAACAAAGATACAACTAACCATGTAGATGTATATACCAAAAGGAGATCCAAGAAACTAATTCATAAAGGAAATTTATTTACATCAACCAAGAAGGGAAAGAGCTGAGTTTGGGAAGTTGATTTAGCTAATTTATCAAAATAATCTAAACTTCCTTGACATACTGAAACCAGAGAAAACTGTGATTCTCAGAAATGGTTCTCTCACTGGCACAAGTTGAGATGTTATTTTAACCAACCGCACATAAACTGTGTTCTTGGCCAAGTCCTTTGTCGAAAAGGTTGACTTTGTAAAGTTTATGTGCAGTTAGGTCTTCACATGGTGTTGGCATTAGACACTGTCACACATGTGGAGTACAGATCGCCCACACAAACTTAGAGCCTGGGAGGCTTGGCTTTGTCAGAACTGTTGGATAAGGTCTGGCTGGCCTAAAAAAACTTGGGTTTCTCATCCTGGAAAATAGTCTGTATAACAATTGGAGGAAGACAACTTCAAGAATATGCAACTTTGAAATTCTACAATTTTCTGTGTGTGTTGTTTGTGTACCTTTCTGGTTTGCATAATTTTGGAACAGTTTCCAATTTGTTTCGAAATGCACCCCTTCCCATGTCTTGAAGTTCGGAATGTCCCCTAAGATGTGAGTTCCTAACCCCTTGCAGACAGCCTGTGGTGCGATTACAGAAACACAGGTGTGAGACAGGGTGCAGCTGCTACTGTCTGTACTCAGTACCCAGGGGAGGGGGTTGTTAGGGCTGATCCAGGAAAGATAGGGAGGGGTACAGTGTATGTGTAAATAAGAAAAGTGTAAAATGTTTCGCCAAGGATAGTGTACAAACTCTCCTGATATTACGCCAATGGAATACTAATTCGTCTTTATCAGCCCTCAGTAATCAGTTCAGGGTCATGCCATACTGAACCTTGTCTGTATAATATAATACTTCCTATCTGTAAAATATAATACTTCCTTCCTGAGGGAAGCCAGCCCAGCATTATTTAGTCTTAACTGTGAATAGTGATACTTCAGATATTACAGAGTCTAACCAGGTGATAAGCAAGAGTAGTGACTTGTCATTTAAACAAACTATGTAGACTTTGCCATATTGATCCTAGTGGCCTTGTCTTGCAACTCTCTATATAGAGTTAACCTTTTCACTGCCATGTACTTATCCAAGTAGGAAATAAATATTGGTACACTGAGATCCAATAGGGAGAAGGTTAAACTTAAAAGTTATAACTGTCAATATTGGAAGCAGACAGGTATGGTAAATGTGATAGATCTATTTCTTGAATTTTGAAAACTCTTTTGGGATTGAGTCTACATGTAACTTAAAATGTCGCCTCTTTGCCCAAGGTTGCCCTGAGTGGGATAAGGCCAATCTTAGCTGTCTACTCGGGGGTGGTTCTAAATGGAAACCAGAAGTTGTAACAGTATTTTTCCTAGCAGTGTGTCTCCGCCAGAGGCTAAAAGTTGTCAAGCTGTATCATCGCTCACTTACACCCCCTTTGATTTTCCACTAGAGGCTGCGACCCCTCAGCGAACAAATCTTTGACAGATTGCTCAGCTAATTTTATAGACAAAGAAGAAAGCTTTCAACGTTTTATGTGTTTTGTTGTCTTTTAAGTAATATTTTGCAGTGTGCTTCCTATTCTTAGTGAAGCTTTGTACATATATGTATGTAGTTGCACCACGTATATAAATACGTGGTGCAACTAAGCGGCTTCCTCTGTATTTTTGTTGAAGTAAGGGTCGCACAAAAAAGACAAATCCAATTTTGGCCACTCAATGGTCATACAGTGAACGATGTCTAGTTAAATAGAGGCCTACTGTATTGGCACAGTTAAATATCTATAAACTCGACAGCCCTGGGAATAAAACGTCTTTATTAGTCATTCTATAAAGTCAACACTACAGGAGTTTTGGTGATACCTCTTCAAAGCTGATACTTTTGGACCAGTTTGGATTAAAAAAATCCTCCACACCCCTCCATCCCTGTAAGTGTTTGAAGCTCCAGGGATCCAAAAAGTAATAGCATGGGTAAGATGGCTGTTTTAGGATTTGGACAGCGTTCAACAGAGGTATTAAGGCAGGAGTTATGAAAGTTATCTGGAACTGCAGGGAAGGTTTTGTGTGTGGGCGGTTGGTTTGAACTGATGCCAACTCTAGTGTTAAAGCAAAGGGTGGATGTAATTATAGTTCAACATGCTTGGAGATCTTAGCATTTGTCTGAAGGCACCAGTGTCTATATTTTGAGCCAAAGGGGTAGATAGCTCTGTTTAGTTGTTATGTTATTTCAAAGGTCAAGACAGTAACTGTTAACAACCAGTAGCTCATACATTACTGATACTAACAGTTACTGTTTCAAAATATAAGCAAGATATCCGAAGCTACCATATAAGTAGAACAAGTACATTTGTACATGTACACTAAGCATAACTGTCATCAAATCTTGCTTACGACTGCAAAATTAAGTCCCCTTGGAAAAAAGAATTTGTAGTAACGCGAAAAAATAAATTTTCTCCTATGAAAATCCATACTAAGTTCAGTTTAAATTTACCCATATTATTTGTTGCTTGTATGAGTTACAAATTGTGCGTTTGTGTTTCCAGAGGAGCGCCGTTTGGATGACAACGAGAAGCCTCTGTTGGTGCAGCTGAACTGGAACAAGGACGACCGGGAAGGGCGCTTCCTGCTCAAGAGGGAGGACAACCTCAACGTTTCCGTATGTCTGCTGATCACTCTTGATTACACACTATCTGTGCTGTAGATACAAACATGGGACATCCTCACACTAGGATGTAATAAGGGAGATGCCAGTGCTGTGCATTTAGTAAATTGGCAAATAGTTTTGCCCATGATCTTTTCTTTTGTGTGCTACAAGAATTGAGGCAATACAAAGTCAGAAAGAACATATTTATACAGTATATATAAAGTTGTCATTTGAAGAAATGTACAAATTTCCAAAGCCCCTCTACTTAGATTCTTGATTGCCAGGATTATGGAAAAGGCCTGTGATTCTTAAGAAACAGCAAGTGTCTAATGAGTCTGAGTAAAGTTCAAAGGATGTTGCCCTACTAGTGTGTTGTAATTCAAGACAGGCTGCAGAGGGTGCCACTAAGTGACTCAGTGGGAATCATGGAAACTCTACCCAATGTTTGTTTTATCAGGGTTTGAAGCAGCCAAGAAATACTTTCTCACAACTGAAAGTAATTGTGTTTATTGTGAAACCAAGGGCTGCATCCCTTGCCTTGGTTTGAATATAATACATGATGGTTTTTAAGAAATAGCAATAAGACGTTTGAGAAAGTGCAAGGTTGTCAAGTTTGGTGCAATGAATTGTTTAACCTGCCAACTGATAATTGATATGATAATTTCAGGGTACTGGTGACTACTTTGAAGACAAGTCTGTCATGCAGAACTTCAAGAGGAAACCCTCCAAGAAAGAGAAGAAAGAGGAGAAGAAGAAGAAAAAGAAAGAGGCTCTAGCTCTGAAGGGCAAGGAGAATTCTCCTAAGGTATCCCTTCCCAAGGATGATGTAGGTTTTGAACTTTTCACAACTTTCTCACATTTCACTCCATCATTACTGAAAGCACCCTACCCCTAAAATCCAGTCCTTTACATCTGTTCCAGCTCTGCCATCACCTAAAAGCTTTGTAGAGAACTTCTAGCTATCATTTTTCTGATACCTCTTACCCCTACTACTTTATGGTTTGAGACTGATTATCAATCTTGGCAGTGATGAACTTAATTTGCAAAGGCACTGCTATTAATCTATTGAAAAATTCTTCTTCAATATTGAACCAGTTGTCAAATGACAAATTGTTAATAGTATTAATAAAAACAAAAAAATTGCCATGTAGCTACTTCGATTTTTTAGAATTGATTGACAGATAGCCAGTTCTAAATCAGTAAATTCAAAAAAGAAAATGTCAAATTTTATCCTCACAATTTTTTCAAAATGAACAATGGATTCTGGGCACAGAGTGATTTCAGGTTCATATGCATGTAAAATCCACAATCATTGCATGAGAAATTTGCATGATTATGATCAAATAAGGGATCAGGGTGAATTTTTAACTGAGAGAATTTTTACAAAATTAATTTCAAACAGTGAAGCCTGGCTTTGTGTGCATGGAAATTATACAGCATGAGGCATGAACAAATTGCATGTACATAAACTGATGTATAAATTGCATGACATCTTAAATATGATTATACATCAGATTTCACTTTGATTTGACAACCTCAAGTAGTCAATAACTGATTGATGTTAAGGGAGGCTATATAATATCTGGTGCAGTGTTTCAAACAGCTATAATGAAAAAAAGCTGAAGTTTTTGTAAGATGACTAATCTATATATGTCCTGTCCCAGACCCCCACCTCCCCACAAGGCGAGGAGTCTGCAGCAGAGAAACTGTACCAGGAACTGCCGGAATCCGGTTTCACGCGCTCCATCTCCAACCCCGAGGCCGTCATGAGGCGGAGACGCCAGCAGAAACTGGAGAAGAAACTACAGCAGTTCATGAGCGGGCCAAGCTCAGGTACGGTCAGGGTCAAATACGGTTAGCTGAACCCATAAACATGGAAACATACAATCACGCGTCTTTACAATGATGTGGTCTACGCATAGAAATACACAAACAAATAACAGATACCTGAATTTATTGTAAGTGATGTTGCATATAGGAAACTTTCCAATAGCATATGGGCAACTTTGCAAAAGTACAAGTAGCTATGCTGCCTTTGAGGACTGTGCCACACACATTGTCTTATTTGTAAATAAGATAATTTATTTCTTCTTACCTAGGTGGCACCCTGAAAGTGTATGCTGAAACTATCAAACCAGAGGTGCCCTACAAAACTCTCCTGCTCTCCACCAATGACACGGCTGCGTTCGTGGTGAAGGAATCCTTGGAGAAGTACGGCCTAGACAAGGAGGACCCCCTGGACTACTGCCTCGTACAGGTAAGAAGTCAAAAGAAAAGGCAATGGGTCTATAGCTAACTTTTAAGGCATCTGATTGTTGTTGATCAATTGTTTCTCTTTAGAAGGTTACATCAAATACCTCCTATTTCACAAAAGTATAACAGGTGAAGAAGACTTCTTGAAATACAACTGTCATTTCCAGGCAAAGTTGGTATGGAGCCTTGATAATCCATGTTTTGCTATGTATCTGTATTATCTCTTGGTACCTGTGATAGTGTCACTTTTAATTCTTTTGAATAGAACACAGGTAAAGGTTCTTTTTTGATGAAAAAAAGAAGAAAATACCTTCTAACATATACTATGAGGTCTTATAAAGAAGTGTCGTGTATTATGGCACTGGTATATCAACTTGGACATTTTATGACGGCTCTTCAAATAGACATTACAATATCTTGTGAATGAAGCATTGTGTTGCCACTTGCTTATGTTAGAGCAAGTAGTACTTCCCGCAATGTTATTTCACTTTTCCGTTCCCCTTTCTTAGCAATCTACCTCCAGACTTAGGAATGTATGTATAACTTTTGCTAACAATGTTTCAAAACTGTAGTCCCTGTTGTTTATATCTGCACCCACACACACTTTTCTAATGCTTAGGTGTGGATCAGAAAAGTTCAGAGGGACGGAGAGATGGTAGTTACATGTAATATTGTATAAAAGAAAATTAAAATGTACAAAATGTTAGCTTGAAAACAATTTCATTTTATACATTTTATATTTTTATACTCACCTACCCCTCATACATTCTGGTCCATCTTTAAGCCAAAAAAATACCAAAGATGCTAAAGTTTCCAACTACAGTCAAACCTGCCTATAGTGGTCACTCAAGGGACTGGCCAAATTTGACCACTATGGCCAGGTGACCACTATAGAGAAACAGCCGGTTAGTTGACCCCCCCCCCCCAAAAAAAGGGACACATGCTTTGAGTACCAACAGTGATGTCTTTATTCTGAAACATATGAATACATACATTTGCAAAGGTAAACCCCTTTTATATGTACATGTCTTAGTTCAATAATTTGTTGTTCTTTTGCTTTAGTTGTACTTTATTTTGTACTTGCTTGAAAAAAAAAGAAATACAGAAATATTGCATGGAAACATTAACTTGACATCAAAGATACATACACTCAACATATTCAGTTCATCTATTCTGGGACAATGAAACCATTCACATAATTTAAAACATACAAAATCACTGGTTGTCATTTACTGCTCTTGTGTACATACTAGTACTACATGTGGCTAAAGAAAAGAAAGCAAATCAAGCAACAAACTTTCAACTCCAAACAAATTTCTATCGACTGCAAAATCATTTAATCTAAGCTCAGCTTTCGACGATTTCTTCTCACTCTCTCTGCCAGTCGAATCACTTCCACCTTTGGAATAAGTTTGGCGTCCGTCTTTCCGCTTTCGCCATCGTTTCTCCGCAATCGCCACGTTACTAGTAGTTGTTGTTGTTAGTCGAAAAGTGGAAGAGAACGACATCGCCATGTTTTTGTTCTTTGGTGAACACTTGCTTCGCGCGACCGACATACGCCACAGCGAATTCCAACCACGTAAATAAGTTATTTTGTACCAAGATGCTGTCTATTTAGTTAACAGGAAAATAATTGTTCGTCAGTTGCCAGTTACTTTCCGTTTTTGGTCGTTTTTGAACATGAAAACTTAGCGAAAACTCTCCTTTGTTTACGGCTTGGGTTTCTCCCCGCGTGGGTTGTCTGCCTCTACCATTATGCCAATGTGGTAGTCAACAGAAAATTTTCTCCTTTCAGACTTATATCTTTTCTAAAATATCCACTACAGTGTTAAATTTACATCTAAAATTAACTGTAGTAATGTATTTCAAATGTTTTCATAATGTAATTACGTCATTTGACGCTAATGATGTTAAATAAAACTCGGTGTATCTACCTCCATTACAGTGGAGTCTTCCGATGACCCCAATTGACCTCCCTCTGCAGCAAACATGCGCCATCTTGGAAAAATACGAAACGCATTTTCGAGCCAAATTTCTTGAATTATGCCCATGAAAAACTGAAGCTATGCACGTATCTACGCATTTCAAGGAATCGAGAAACCAAATATGGATATTCTTAAGTTTTTTTGTAAAGATAATTGCCGTAATCTTCGCCGAGCGGCCGAGTCCATTGAAAGCTCCATGCGGCACGCACGGCACTGGTGTTGGGGAAAACGCAGATATCAAAGACACCCGCGACCGCAGAAACTTCGTGTCAAAAGCCAGTTTTCCTTTATTTCATACACATATGGAGTCTAATTTTCAGTTCACATTTTAGTAATGTAGCGATCGGAAAATTATCACAAGGCTCATAACGGTCGTAGCCCGAGGTGGGGTGGTGTTACGGCCGTGGTGCTTAGCGGGTTACGGCCAGCCGCGACCGCTATCGGCGGTGTTGACATGCCGGCGGGACCGGAATGGGGTGACCGCTGACCGCGTTGAACAGTGACCGCTATAGACACGATTCTTAATGCTTACGTCAATGGGAAAAATTCAAGGGACCGGCAAAAACTGACCGCTATGGCCGAGTGACCACTATACAAAGGTGACCGCTAGTACAGGTTTGACTGTATGTTGTATAATTTTAGATAGTAGTAGCCTCCTTTTCTCATTTGTCTGCACTGTTTTGCATGACCTGTACATGTACTTCCAACCTTACTAGTTCACAAGTGCAGCAGCACTAGTAACATGTTTGTCTATGTTGTGTCTTGGCTAATCAGTAACAAAGCACAAGTGTGATGGTTTCACTTCCTCCAACATAGAACATGAAGGCAGTCCACGTAACATGTACATGTATGAAAGCAAGATAAGGAAAAATATCTCCTGATATATTCAATGTCAGGGACTTCAGTATACCACTGTTTACTTGTGATTGGCTCACCAAACCCTCTTTATGTTCTGTGGTAGAAGGAGTGAAGTGACCACTTGCTCATCCCAGTAGAAAACTCTCCGTAGCCCCTCAAAACTATTGGCCTGATCCTTGTCCTATTCCCTGGACGATTTGCAAGGAAACCTTGCAAGTTGTCTCTGGACACGGCTTTCTGGTGGGAACATGGTTTCTTCCAGAAGCAGTGCAGGACAAGGTTACTCAGGCCGCTCCATGTTCTTGCGTGTTCTCTTCTCTCTGTGTCTCCTGGCCTGTAGGTCCAGCTTCCCCCAGGAACCTCCACCTGGAGAAGGATAGGCAACAACCTCAGCCCCATCAGGGAGGTAATCCCTGCTGCTACGTGCCGTCACCTTGCTCTGACCTGCCCCCTGCACCACAGTAGCCCCCCTCCCCCTCCTGCCCACTCCTGCTCTTGTGCTGGCTTCTCCCGTAGTGTCTGCCACTGTGCTGCATGCAATTTTCCCAAAGATGACAGAACCATCAAGCCATATTTCAAGATGATGGACAGACAGCCATCTTGGATTGTTTTTTTTTTTGTGAAGCATGATGGAAGTTTGTCGCTGTCTTGTACTTTTCCCTCTAGTTTTAGTCTGTTCCCTTTCCTTTAACTGTAATTTGCTCAGCAGTGCTTTTCCCTAGCTTTCCCTAAGCCCTCCTCAGTGTTGTATCACAAGAACCCCACCTCCCAAACAACCACCTGCCTGATACTGCAGAAGCTTGTACCACCTGTTGTCACTGGCTTTGGTTACAACTAGCTACCCCCTCTTCTGTTGAGACTTTATCCTGCATTGTCTGTCATGTATTTTCTGTGGTTGTCTTTTATTCTTTTCAAGACCTTGTGATTGTTATTGCAAGAAGTGTACAACTTGCTCCTCTTTCTTTTTGACCTATTTTGGCAATGTCAGTTGCTTATAATTTAGTACCCTAGCACCCCTACATATGTTGAATGTCCATGTCTTCACTCCCTGTCATTGTATGAAAAGCTTGTGGATAACTGTAACATACTGCCTTCATCTGATCAAGTAAAATGTTGCCTGCTGTTAGTTGCTGTATGCACTAGAATATTTTGTGATCCTTTTTAACTTCCCAACTTAAAATTCCATCCTTTCTGTTGTCAGTTATTTCCTTTTCACCTTTCAAGATCAACTGTTTGCTTAGTTTGCTTATAAGTTCAGGCCCTTGTTTCTTGTTAATATGCATGTTTTCTTTCCTGCATCAAGATTATTACTAACTTACACTTACCATACAGTTCAGACCACAAGGACTATCAATTGGACCCAGTTTTCTTTTCTTTTAAACCAGTTATTTCTTTCAGCCATGGAAGAACATTAAGTTCACCTATTATTTAGTTTCAGATTTGTTAAGTTGTATCTACATTAAGTTAACCCTTCCAATGTCACAGCAACCAGTAACACTGGGAGGGTTAAAGGTGTAACTCTTAAATGTGGGTATCTTGGATTCTTTGTAGGGCATCAGAAATTTGGAGGGTACATGATTGTTGATTTACAGTAGTAATTTCTTTAGTATAACCTAATTATATTTCATGTGCTCAAGCTTTCTTAACCTTCCAAGTGCCACAGCCAATTAGAAGTAGGCATCATACATGTTGTAATTGGCTCATGACATTTGGATGGTTAAACATGCTGATGTTTGTTGTAACAAGTTCAAATCTTGTACACAGGTATACCCATAGCAGGAGAAGGTTAATTTGTCTGAGAATTTCATGTTTACTGGAGAACTGAGCAATGTATATTTTATCCAGGTTCAGCTCCCACCAGGCAGTACCACTGTGACCGAGACTGGGGGGTGGGGCAGGGAGTTGATTCTAGATGATGATGATTGCCCCCTCCAGATCCTAATGGACTGGCCTGCACAGAAAGGTATGTTTTATCAGGAATGTTCCTGTAAAAACTTAAATATATGCTTGACCTGGATTACTAGAAAAGTTATACATGCATTTGTCTAATTTTTAAGTTGATGGGCTGGCCTTGCACTAAGGAATAGGCTCTATACTTTCCTCCGTGCAGCTTCTTCTTGAATTTCAGATTACAAAATGGCAATCTTTGAAGAAAACCTCTGCATTGGATTCCAAACCACCATTGAATTTGTTGTAGAGTTGTTCACGTACCTTGTGTTTTTGTAGGCACCCTGGCCTTCCAGTTAAAGAGACGTCCCTCTGACGCCCGTGGACAGAAACGGAAGCCCAAGAAGTCCAAGAGCAGCAGCAAGTCCAGCGAGAGTGACAGTTACCAGGACATGGGACCTGTACCACAGGACAGGCTACCCTTCATGGTGGAGCTCAACCCTGGTGGGTTACTTAATCTAACTAAAAACCCTTTCTACAGTGTCAGTGGATGTCAGTAATTTGTGGTAGATCGTATTTTCCTCTCCCGTTGTTGATAAAGGCATTGAGAAGTATTCTTTTTCTTAGAGGACACCATGTTATACAAGTTTTCAACTATAGGTGTTGCTTCCTCATATAATTAGAAAATGGTAGACATAGTGCTTTACAGACTTATAGCTCCTGACATGTACAAGACTTCTGTGTTTTATTGGTGAAATAAATGTGTTGTCAAGTATGGAAGCATAGCTGTAGCTGCTAGGTTTTACTTGTGATTGCTAGGTTTAGTAGCCATTGACACCAACTCTTTGATATTGATAAAGTAAGACAAATTCTTTTAGTTGTTTTAATACAAATGTAGTGATAGAGTTGAAAGTATGAACAGTTTTCTTGTATTTTCAAGACTAGATACTCTACATCTGTCATCCTCATCAACTTGATACTTTTCTCTAGCCTGAGTTTTTATCTGTTACTCATTCCTGCCCCACTCATCCCTACTTTTCTCTCTGTCTCATTCTGCCGTCTTCAGGCAAGTTGGTTAACAAGAGTAAGTTGGAGCTTCATCTAGCCTTCTGGCCTTATTAGTAACCCATGCATGCAACATTGAATAACAATAATATCAAACAAAACTCTTCTACCCTTATCTTATTCAAGGAAATGTTGCAATGCACCATCTTGACAGGTTTATCTAGACTCTTTCTCAACTCGGCCATATTTTATTTTTATCCCAGATGGTTCAGAAATGCTGAAGCCCCGCCTCCACCGCCTACAGCCGAATGTCACTGAAGTTGGCAGCGAGAGATCGTCAGCTACAAGCGGGCAGTACCTTCAGGTAGGCTTACAACTGTCTGCGCTGATGTCTATATTATACATGTACCTTCGGTAGATTAGTTCTCAAGCTACTTTACATAATCACACTGCAGCTTTGGCATTTCCATTGAAGGATATTGTCACAGTGGTAAAATCATGTATGGTGTCTTGAGGTTCAGTCTTCTCCACATAACAAGAGGTTTGAGATATTGAGGAGCAGTCCAAGAAAAAGTGTTAGAGGATGTTATTTTCAAATGAAAAATAAAGTATTGCTAGAAGGTCAACCAACAATTGATTATTTGCTGAGAAATGTTGGCGGATTTTTCTTGGTCTATCGCAAAGTGTGGTAAAGTTTAATTTTGGAGTTTTCTTGTACACTGCTGCGTTTGTAATGTGATACTTGTTCTTGTTAGTCAAGGCTAATCCATTTGCAGGGTAAAAGGGTAATGCTTGTCTTTTTTACTGGGTAGACTCTCTTCCTTCTTTCATCATTCTACCTTACATTATTAACTCTACTAAGACCACATCCTGACACATATTACTAGTCCTGACGTTTCCACACTACTTCTGGTAGAAGCCAATCTGTCCTCTGACCCACTAACCCAGCTGAGCACTTCTCCCTCCCACCGGCACAGCTGAATGTGGCGGAGACAGACTCTGGGTACCACTCCTCCTCCAAAGGGGAGGTAGGTGGCCACCTTCTCCTGCTGTGTGGGTGGTAAAAACAACTCCCCTGCATAGAGAACCATGGGCTAATGCAATTCTATTGCTTGTTTTTCAGGCTAAATACACCTAAAAGGACAATGTTTTGGCAAATAAGTTCTTGATCGTAGATATGCAAATTGGTTCTGATTGTCACCGAGAATAAAAAAAAGTGAAATAAGCAATAAGATTGGTTTTGTCCCAAATCCTAAAAGCCAAAGTTGTGTAAGTGGTTGTCACCCAGTAACTAATATTAATGCTAACTTGCTAACCATCCCTCTTTGCTTTTGTTGGTGGCAGTGTGACTAGTCTAATTTTCTTGGTTATAAACAGGAGGTAATGGCTGTGCATGGAGGACCTTGTGCTCAACCTAAGGCAGATTTTCTCTAATTTTTAATCTTACACAGGGCTAGCATGATAGCCAGCATGCTATGTCCTGTAAGCCCTCCTTTATGTTACAGTTGACTTTGGTCAAATAAAATGTTTGGAAATGAACAAATTCAGCTTCTTTATTACGAATTTTTCCTCATCATCATCGGTACAAGAAGCAGCTTTCTTAATTGTGAAATATCTTAAGTTTCCAATCCAAAGAATCTGTTTGCTAAAGAAATACATAAAAGTTGTTGATACAAATTTTTTTCTTCCTTTTTTTCCACAGCTGTTTTCTCCCAATGTGAAACCGCGCCACTGTGTCATCGCCAACATGGAGGGGGTCGTGACGGTGACACCGACCAACCACGACGCGGAGACGTACGTCAACGGGCAGCGAATCTACGAGACCACCATGCTACAGCACAACTCAGTCGTCCGCTTCGGCAAGATGCACACCTTCCGCTTCTGTGAGCCAGTCCCAGTCATAGAGGTATGGCTAACGTCCTCTATTGGTGACATACCTGTACTTCAAATTTGGAAATGTACATGCAAAGTCATTACACCACAAAGATGTATTTCCATTGAATTAGTACTGAAAATATCTGAAAATAAAATAAATGAATTCACAGTATTTCTCTCATTTTTTCCAGCTACATGTACCTGATTAAAAGCCTGCTTAATCCTAATGTTGACATATCATTTCCTTGTTCCTTACAAAAGTCTCAAGGAGGAAGACCAGACGTGACCCAATCCTCCCCAAGAAGGGGACCCGCAGAACAGTCCAGGTACGAAAGACACTTCCTTTTTATCTTTAAGGAAAGCCTTGTTGTGAACATCATCAAGTTTCTAAGAAAGGACCCTGCAAACATATTGGTTACTTGTAATTAGTCCACGGTAGTTTCCGTGTTTATGTTTATATTTGCATTTGTTTTGGCAACAGCTTGTGAGACCAATAAGGCGCAAGTTTTGTTGGTCTGCAAATTGGTGTACAGTAGTGTGTGCACATGTTTTGTTGACTCATCCCAAATTTGTGCACAGTCGTGTGTAACTACACGTGTTTTGTTGACTCATCCCACATCAACAACATCCACATCATGTCAACACAGCATCAGTGTGGATTGCTAATTGTTGTGAAGTGGGGTTGTACAAGCCGGCTACTCACATAAACTAAACCATTAACACATGGGGATGAAAGAGTACAACATGGTGTCGCTAGTCCAAACTGCCCACTGCCTCATCTCAGTTCATTTCCTCCCTTCCTTACCATTTCCCTCATCTTCTGTAACACATGGGCAATGCCACTTTAATTCCTTGGTTTTTGTATAGTGGTTGAAAAAGTGAAATGAATTTCATGCACAAAATATAACATGGAGTAATCAGATAATTCTGAGTTGATTCTTTGTAAGTGTAATTTAGTTTGAAGTTCTTCTTTCCTATGTAACTTGCTGTAAGGTGCAAGTTTTTTGTTGTTGTTGTAAAGACTCACATTTCTTTGAATATCCAATGATTGCTCACTAGTTGTGCATCTCAAAATAAAAGTTTTTTCTCAAAACCTGTTTGATGAAAATATACAATAACCAAGGAATGGAGATGAAGTTGCCCTATCGCACTAACAAGTCTCCAGGGAGCATGCTCTTCCCCATCTTCCTTTCTAACTTGCGTTGATTTCCTTGTTGATTACTGGCCTGCGTTGGACTGATCCTCCCAGAATGCTGAACGCTCTGGTTCGCGACTATGTCCGAAGGTTGGTTCTCCCCAGGCTGTTCTTTTGTTGTCTTAACTCCTCTTCTTCCGTTCTGCACCCTTTCCTCATGATTCCAGACTGGTGTATTTACCAGGTGTTTTGAGATGATAACATGTCTTGCACAGTGCTGGGAAAGAACATCTTTCTTGAAAAAAATTTAGTGTTTATAACTGATGGAAATTAGCTTTCAGTAGTCTCTTCAGTTTTGTGAATGTTGCTGAAATAATGCGTTAAAATGCACAAATAACAGCTTTGCTCGTTTGGAAACTTTTTAACTTCAGAATCTGGTGAGGAAGTCACCTGATAAGGAAAGCATTCAGTTATTATTAAAGTTCAAGAAAGAGAGAATTGTAAAACTGAAGAAAAATTATTGAAAAATTAATTTTGCTCACTAACTGTCACTTCAGTGCAGGATCTGTTGTATCTTACAAAACACTTAGTACATTCACCATGTCTCCCATTTCTTACTTTCCCACACGTTTATAAGATAGTCATAAAACTTCCCAATTTTTTTCTGTCTCTTTCTTTGCCTCTTGGACCCCAGGTGCTCTAGAAGGTTTGTAGGAAGGCTTCCTAACCTGTGTGATGTGGACTGCATGCTTGGTTTAATCCTAACACAACCATGTAACATGGCATTGACTGATTGCATGCTGTTTCTAACTGTGGTTCTTTGTGTTAATTGAATTCTAAATTTGCCTACAAGAAGGGAGAAACTACACACCTAGACCTAATATAACAAAACTAACCTCCCCTTTCCTAAACTAATTGAAACTACATGTAACTTTAACATCTCATTTCTTCAAAGGCATTATATAAGGACATACATACAGGAAAATTAAACAACTGAGTGACAAACTTTTGTTTCTTGTCTGAGAGCCTTAGCTTTGTTACACCATGTATTGCTTCTAAAATGATATATGCTTTTGTTGTACTATTTGAGGTATCTAAGACTTTGACTTTGGAACAAGAAAATGTACCACACATACCATTGTGTATACTTAATATTCTCCTCAGATTCCCTACCTAACCACCCTGATTGCTACATTAGATTCCATGATGAAGTGGTGGTAATGTTTGTCCTTCCTGACCCCTATCTCACCACTAGGGTCTGTAATGTGTGTTATATATGTCCTGTCTACCCACCCACAGCCCCAGCTCAGGCCAGGCCAACTTTGAGACAACGTTTGACGTCGACGGCCACATCGAGACTGTCACCAGTCCTGTGAACAAGGTGAGGATTAATTAAATTGTTACTTCAGTAAAGCTACAGAATGGAACAATTACAGTTGGTATAATACATTCGGGTCTGAATTATAGATATCCCTATGAATTATTACTTTCATGTACTGTCTTGTGGCAACACAATACAAGAGTCTAGTTGTAAGAACTATATGATGCTATTTAGGAAACAAAATTGTTTGACAGTTAAGTGACGTTTTCTTCTTCCCCCTAAAGACACCTCCAAGAGGCCTACAAGAGAGGCCAGTTGACGTCCCACCTGAACACATGCCACCAGTCAGGTAAGGACACCCTGCTATCTGTGTTTGTGTAGATGAAGTTGTCATGGCTTTGTAGCATTGGCAATAGTAAAATGATCCTACAATTGCTTTTTTTCTCATGTTTTTAGAGATGAAATAAGTGACTAGAATACATATATTATGTAGAGTGTAAAAAAGCACGTACTGTGAGCAGTGCAGACAATTTGTATGTAGATTTCTCAGGAAAATTAAGGTCATCGAGGTCACAATCATATGTCTGTGTTGAACTGTTTAGCTATAGAACTGACTGTTGAGAAAATAGGTTTATGAAAATAGTGCTCTATCGAAAACGTCCTTAGGCCACACCAATTTAATTTCTTGGTTAACGGATTCAGCGCTTCATTTTTTTCAGATTTGCAAATAAAAATAAAAATCCAGAATCAACTGCAAAATGCTCATATTTTGCCCTGAACAGTTGAAAACAGACCTTTTCATCCTAGTTGTTACAGTTATTCCATCTTTCAATGCAGTGGTATCATTAAAAGTTCAAAATTCATTGTTTAAATTTTGAACCAGCCTGGTGTGTTGACTTCATGGCTCCTATCGTACCATTTTGGGCCGTAATACGATGCCTAGGCCTGTTTTTATTTTTTATTTTTTTTTTCGCTCGCCCGCTCCATTATTTTTCTAGAAAAATCCGTTAACCAAGAAATTAAATTGGTGTGGCCTTATGGTATGGAAGTCAGCATCTTTCCTCACACGGTAAGCAAGGTTTTACTACAGACATCAGAATTATTGCAATTACCAACTGTGGTGATTGTGTATTCGGACTGTGCACAGGCCTACAGTGTAGACTGAGCTTAAATTGCCTTGACTTTGGCCCTCTCCTAGCTACGTAGCTTATTTGCAAGTAATACTGGTTTGATGCTACATTCTTCATGTGTTAGCTTTAACAACCTTGTTGCAGTGTAACATTCATAATACTGGGGACATCTTAGGACATTGTAGTCGTCAGTAATTCTTATGACTGTTGTTGTGATGTCCATTGTCTGAAAGTTCAGAATATATGAAATGTGATATCATAACAACCCTTACAACATTGCTGCTCTAACCTCTTCAGGTCCAACATCCCCTTTGAGACTGTGCTGCCAGCCTCTATAGAGTACAGGGACAGCAGTAAGTCACCTTTACTTGAAGCGCCCTCTAGTGGTCATTACGCAAATTACATGAAAGACTTTCCTATCTATTAGCAGTGAAGTTTTCTCCTGACAGCATTTTCTACATTTTTGTCTTCTGTTTTTTGTGCAGTAACTACTATATTATGGTTGCACAATTTCTTGTATCAAAATGTAGCTATATCTGCATTGAAGTCCAGAACTTACTTGTGTTTAGCCTAATTTACAGCTACATAACATTATGTTATACGGCTTCAGAGGGTACAAATTGTATTGTGCTGTTCCCCTTCGCAGCTGAAGAACAGCTGCTGTCGCAGGTGATCAGTGAAGTCAATGGAGCTGCTGTCCAGTTCAAACTGGCCCCGACCTACACCCTGTACATGGCGGCCAGGCATCGTATCGCCTCGGACGCCAGGAACGTCCAGACGGCTGCGGAGAGGCTACACAGGCTGAACTCCATGACCATCAGAGTGGCCAGTATGATCAGCAGGACAATTCAGGTAGTCTTTTTTTTCCTACTTCCAGTCACAGAAGTATTGTTTTGGGTGGCTGATATGTGAGTTTTTGTGTTTCATGTCCAAGTTGTGACGGTTACATGGAGGATGGGAGGTAGGTCAAGCCTGAAGGGTAGTATGTGGAGGAATTCAGGAAATGGTGTAATACCTGATCAAATTGCAATTCATACGATTCCCTCCACAGTTCCAATAGTTACATTCACAAAAATTCAAAACACTTCCGGGAAGTCTAAAATATATGATTTTCATGCTTTGTCTTGTTTTTCGAAGATCATAGAACCGTGATTATGATGGATGACAGTACAGACTTATTTCTCAATTTAACTAGTTCCAACTCTACAGCATTACATGTTGTACTTTTTGTTGTGTTCAGGAGGGCAGTGCCATTGCGGGAGTCCTGGCCTTCTGGATGGCCAACGCCTCTGAGTTGCTCCACTTCCTCAAGATGGACAGGGACACGTCTCGCCAGACACAGGAGGCACAGGGAATTCTGGGGGATGCCGTACAGATGGCATTCAGGTCAGCATCTCTGTCAAGTAAAACTACTGTAACGAGGTGACAAACGGTCATCGAAATGTCGGCAGGCAATTGTATGCTGTTTGTGTACAATGAACCTTGTTGAACAGTGATTTACCAACATGATGAAAAGGATTCTTGTCATACAGTATAGCTGGATCAAGCTTTACCAAGTTAGATCAAGATTATCTTACCATATCTTAATAATTAGCCCTCTGAGGAACTGACGTATTATTAAGTTCCTTAATTCTTGGTTGATAATACAAGTCCTGGCTGTGTCTTGTCCTTTTCTGAACTGGTATAACCTGGTTATTTGTGGCTGCAGGTACCTGGTGCAGTGTATGACCCGTGAGCTGAGGGCGTCCATGCCAGCCTTCCTGGACGAGTCTTCAGAGGCAGACCAGGAGGATGAGGAGTCCCTGACAGGTAATGAACTCACCTGGATCTGCAGTAACCTCCAGGAAACACACTCAGCTTCTATGTGAATAAATGTTCCATGAAGAATTTGTTTTCATTCAGTATTTTGAACTGAATTTGTTGGACATCTTCATCAGTTTCTGTCAATGTGTGTTGGTTTCTTACATTTTGCTGTCCATTCAGGTCATTGTTTTGCACAAGTGTGTTATACATTTGTATATTCATCTTTGCATTGCTTCACCTATTTCTAGATCTTCTGCAATGTCATAGTTTGCACATGCTTAGGTGATAACTATCATAAGTCATTTACATGTACATGTTCTTTGTATGTCTCACATCTTGTTCTTCATCTCTTTATTTTTTTTTATCCCCACTTCAAACTGTCCTCATTTTTGTACCTACAAACTCTTCTGTTTCTCCTTGTCTTTCCACGTGTGTTCTCTTTCATTGTGATTCTCTTATTCTGTCTGTCCACATCACTCCCACCCACCCCATACCCACTTTCTCTGCTACCCCGTTCTGTGATGTGTCCATGTGTGCTGCTTTCCCATGGTTCCTTGAGCCAGTAAAGCCGAGCGATGCTGACCAGGGGCGTTTCTGGATGCTGGAGGCAGGCTGGAAACTGGGAAGCTTCCTAGACATGCGTGACCTGCCCATCTTTCTCAACTATCATGCCTATCACCCTAGCAACAGCCCCGGCTACCTTCCCATAGGTTGGTCAGCTGCGTATCTGTCAAGTAGATTGAATTTCCCAAGATGAAAAAATTCCTCCTTCCACAGTGCGGTTGTTTGGCAGCCAAACACTTATGGCAAAGCCTTTCATGGCAAAACTTTGACAGATATGCAGCTGTGTTGCGCAGTGTAGCATGCAAGCGTTTCAAGCTGTCTCTAAGCACTAAGAAAGACAAAAGTTTAACCCTCCCAATGTCACAGGCCAACTGAAAAGTTTTCTTTTCAATGACCCTTGGCAGTGGGAGGGTTAAAGTTGACACCAAGTTGCAGTTATGACAAAACTTCCTTATGGCTTTTGCTGAAATGTCTATAGAGGTCATGGCTTTTATACTATAGCTGGATTATAAGAGTGTCATTATTGTCTTTGGAAGTACAACAATGTAGTAAGATTTTGAATGACGGCTTCATCGTACAGTGAAACTGCATCTAAAGCAGCTGAACAGGTTAAATTTTGATTAAGGATTGAGGCTTTATTGGGCATCCCCCCAATATACATGAAAAGCAGCAATCCCTAAGACTCTTGGCTTTTTTTCTGCACTGCAGAGCAAATTTGGTACACTCAATGGACATTGGCACTTTCCAGGTTGGCTTGAGCATATTACTAATAGTGCCAGGGCTGCTTTTTGGCTTATATTGGGCTGCAACTGTTGTTTGGCTTGGAAAATTTCTCAGATGCAAAATTTGCCAACCTCTTGCTTTTGGTACTCATATATCTGTTCAACTTGGAGTCAAAATATGCAAGAAGACATGTCAAATTCAGACATCTCTAAGATATTTAGAACACCAATCTCTGTTTCCAAATACATGTATACTGTACATACAAAATGTACATAGTAAAGACATTGGCAAATTTGGGCAAAACAGAAGTGTTCACTGTCTTTGACATAATGAACAAGAAAATTTCCTCCAAAGCGCGTTCAGCCAGTTGTAGTCCAGCCGTCCCGATCTTCTGCTGTCTCGGTCGAAGGAAACTACGCAACAAATCTCGCGCCAAGTCAGAACCTGTCCTGAACGCTCAGTCTGAAACAACCCGCGCCGTCACTAAGAGCTGCGAACAACTTCCCTTAGAGACAGGTTGAAGCTTGTGCCAACTCTCTGTTTTCTCAACTTCTATTCTGCTCTATCTTAACTCCTGCATGTTTTAGACAAGGCTATGCTACAATCATCTCTACTTGTTCATTGTCATGTCTCATTCCATCCCTCATTCATGACTGTCATAAACTTTGGCTCGAACATTCAAAGCCTTCCTCTGGCAAGTTGTACAGAGTAGTTATTATTTCTGCATGAATTCTTCTAAGCATTTATTTTAGGTTTTAAGAAGAAGAAGCCATACATGAAACTTCTAACTTGATGCGTGTATAGTACTGTTCATTCTTTTTGTTTACTGTTTGCTTGTATAATTCAACACATTGCTGCTTGTCAATAGATTTTGATAATGAATAGTTGGATGGTTAGTGTTTGGGAATGTGCATGTGCCAGATTGATGGTAAACTGAATGTTTCTGTCCTGTGGCTAGCTGACTCCATGCTTACCAGGATACCAGCTGATGTACAAATTCACAGTTAGTGCTGCATCTCTTCCTGTCTACACATACTACTGTTCTATCTGTCCTCTTCACTCACTCATACATTATAGCTCCATCTCATGTTTGTAGAATGTATTTTACTAAAAAAATGCTGGGTTGCTGCAGCTCTCATGCATTTCTGATAGTTTTCTGAGCTTCTAAGCCGAGACTCATCACAAATTTAGATCACTGTTATGTTATTGTAATCATGTCATTCTTACTTGATTGATGATTGTTGTTTATTACACTGTGTCTGTCTTTTGATATCTCTCTTACTGAAAGACTTTTTGACTAAGGAATTGCTCCGTTGGCTCAAATACTTGTCTAACCAATTTGATCCTGTATACTTTAATTTCTAGATACAATGTATCCCTATCCCTGTGTATCTGCTATGTGGATTCAGCCTATAATTCAACAGTATTTTATACTGTTCAACACTAGATTGTAGGCTTTGACACGGTACACTCCCTTGTCAGTACTGTAATGTCCTTCCTGTTGTTTTTGTAACAGATGATGGTGACCACAGCGCCCACTCGTCTGAGCGCTCATTCCGTACCAGCGCCAAGGAGAACCCTGCCCGGATCAGTGGACGCTGGCTCTCCCCCAACTCTGGCATGAAGGGGGGCAAACCCAACATCGGTAGGAATCAGTCCTTTCGTCCTTAAAATTGTGATTATTATTGTCTACTGAAGTTTAATTCCTGACCAAAGATGAAAGAAAAAAGTTTGACAGCTTACATTATGACAAGTGGATATTTCTGTAAGTACCAGGAAAGTTACCAGTACCAGAAATTTTTTGGAGATAATATTGCAGCACTGCTCCTTAGTCTTGAGTTTTAGAATAATTGTTGGAAAGTGTCTATGTGGCCAAACAAGGTATCAAGAATAAATAAAGGCTTTGAATTCAATTGTGGTCCATACATGCCATTTATTGACTAGCTGATACTTTATTTAATACAAGTACACATTTCCTCAGGTGATGTGTTGAACACCCTGTCATCGGCCATGTCCCTCCTACGCCGCTGCCGAGTTAACGCAGCTCTGACCATACAGCTCTTCTCACAACTCTTCCACTTCATCAACATGTGGCTCTTCAACAAGGTAAGGACAGTAACCCCCAGTCATAGGTACATGTGGGCAATGAAAAGGTTAATAACATGGATTTAAGGTTACCATATAGCCCATCAGCCTTCTACTTTTATCTGTATTTAGTTATGGTTTTTATGCATTCATCCACAATATGTTATGTCTTCAAGTTGTAGACTTTTAAAATTGGAATGTTGTAATAGCAACAGCTACATTTTCTGTTATTTACATTGACACCATACATCTGTTAAGCACTGTTGATAAAATGACTTTTCCAATAAGTTATGAAACTGAAATCTAGAGGCTGAGGTCTCGAGTTGTCAGGTTTTTGCTCCCTTTTTCTGTGCCAAGTTTGAAATTAATAACTACTTTGTTCAAGACCCTAAAACATTAAGGTACTGATGACTGTGTTGTCTCCTCTTCTGTAGGTTGTGATGGAACCCCACCTGGGCCTGTGTACCCGGATGTGGGGGCTGCGCCTGAAGCGGCGCCTGGGTAGGGTGGAACTGTGGGCAGAGAAACAGGGCCTGGAGCTAGCCGCAGACTGCCATCTCTGCCGGGTCATCCAGGTAATGTACATACTACATCCTCTCCATCCAAAGGTTCAGGGTTCTATTCCCCATGACAGCATATTTACATTTCTTGGTGGAATGTTTCTTTTGAAAACAAGCTAACCACTTTATTGTTAACCACTTTACTCAGCTTCTGACTAAATTAGCTTATTAGTAATTGCTATTTTTCTAGTGGGCTACAGTATCTTTTATTTCTTCTCCCACCTTCATTTAACGGCCAAAAATTGGTGCTTAACAAGTTACTAGATCTGTATGTCCCGAGCATGACTGTGTTTGTTTGGGTTGACAAGGCAACACTTGAACCCCCAAGTGGAAGAGAAGTGTGTTTTCTTCTCGGTACAAGAGGCCTCTCATCTCTAGTGGTCACTGCAGAAATCTGAGATGTCAGCGTCCAGTTTATAAGTGACGCCCATCAGGACCACTGTATCCCTCACCATGTGGGAGGTGGCTTAAGCCGATGGTAATCTGGTTAAGATCCTCTCCAAACAAATAGAGCGGACAATAGGAAACATAACACAGCATGTGGGAGGAAACCAGGCATAGGGCCTGGCATTGTCCCAGGTGATAACGACTGTTTTTTTAAAAAGGTGTTTACGTCATTCTGGGAAGGGCAGAAGTTATGGATCACAGGAAACCATTGACAAGTCAAGAATCACATGGCATTGTGCTCCTCATGTTACAAGGACGTCAATGCAAAAGAGCCCTCTTCTTATTGCAGAAAAAAGTCCTCTTTGTACTTTCCTTGTGAAAGTTTTGCTGATTCATTGTGGCAAAAGTACTTTTTTGTAAACACATATGAACGAAAAAAACATGAAAGTCTTTATTTTATGTGTCAACGTTATCCTGCATACATGGTCATGTATTAAATTTGTACGTCAATGACATGGTCTTGTATTTTTTTCTTAGCAGATGATTTTCCACCCATTTTATTCAGAAAGTGAGATACCGTAAAACAGAAAATTGCAGAAATATTCATACAGTATGTGAATCATGATGCTCTGAGGAAACATCTGTTTCCAACTAACAATTTCCTCAGTTCAACCTACATGTACATGTAATATGTAGTATTTATACAAAATATTCATGTGTTGCTCTCCACCCCTGTCCAGGCGGCACACCTACTACAGGCACCCAAACACTCTGCAGAGGACATTGCCTCCATCAGCAGCACCTGCTTCAAGCTCAACTCCATGCAGCTGCGCGCACTGCTGGAACAGTACAGGCCAGACCCTAATGAACCTAGAATACCACAGGTTAGTACAGAGAATAAAACCTCAAAACAGGTGGATATGGACCAACCATGTCTGTATGAAAGAAATAGTTAAAGGTAGCTCTATAGCCTTTTTGTGGCCATAGGGGCTGTGGGTTAGTTCAATGTATCTATAGTATAGGGTACAGTATTAGAAGACAGAGCCCATCCCTCTTCTTCCATCACCCATCTTCTTCCATGCTCCATCTTACACCTGGATGGAGTGAGGAAAGTTGTGTAAAGTTCCTTTCCCAAGGACGCAATGTCTTGACAGTAATGCTAGTAGTCGAACCCATGACCTCCTAATCTCTTATCCACTTGCCTAACCACTTGGGCATCTGATGCCACAACGATAGTTTCAGAATCATGCTAATATCTTTTTCAATTGGTACTCATCATGGCTTAAAAGTAGCCATTTGTGATTGTTTCCAGTTCCTCCCTAATTTCTCCCGTTACCTTCCCCAGGACCTGATAGAGAGCGTGGTGTCTGTTGCTGAGAACACGGCTGACGAGCTGACGCGGAGCGATGGCGGTGACGTGCGTCTGGAGGAGGACTCTGACCTGCAGCTGCCGTTCCTCCTCCCCGAGGACGGGTACTCCTGCGACATCGTCCGCGGCGTGCCCACAGGACTGCAGGAGTTCCTCGACCCTCTGGTGTCAGCTGGTTAGGACTTTGTGGCTGTTATATCATTCTAAAGTCAAATAATACTGGTCACTTCATCATTCATAGCTTTCGGACAGTGACAGTGCTGAGATGGAATTTGTCTGGTTTCAAATTTATTTGTTTTTCTCAAGAATCAACTGGTCACTTTAATCATAAGATTTTGATGTCTTCGGCTCTATTCGTCTTGGGAGAGTTCAAGTTTTTAACACATACACACAAAAATGATGAATACGGAATTTTTGACTGATATATTCAATCATGTAGTCTTGATTAAGTTGAGGTAATGTTCTGCTTATACTGGTCATTTCAAATTCGAAATTTTTAAATGTCCCAGAAGTCTGAAATCTCTCTTGACTTTCTTTCATTGCCCCTTTCCAACCTTAAACCATAAGACAGTGTAGCCTTGTGTGGTTTGTTCACTTACGAAGTGTTCCACAACAGGCCTTGTGCGGATGAACGTCCATCCGAACGCGCCCGGAGTGTGGACAATCTACTTCACGCCGGAGGCCCAGGAGGCAGCACGGAACATGGGCTCCCCGGGAGAACAGATTCCCAAGGAGAAATTACGCAGTGTTTCTCAACAGGTACATCCCGAGGGACACCCTTCTTTTCAAGGCTCGGAACAGGTGCACTTCTCACACATTTTCTGCATGTAGGCAGAGCTGTCATCATGTACATGTCAATGGAATCCCTTGTGGGGAGGGGAGAGGGGGGAATGACTATATTGCTTTCAACACTCAGACAAACTGAGAGAAATATTGGATACTCCTACTTTTCTTGTGAATGATAAGTTGGATGTCTTTTGATCTTGGAGAGAAGAATAAAACCTCTGAAACACATGAATAAAAGTTTTTTCTTGAGAAAGTCCTGCAAATCTATGAAGATGTTGCAGTACTTGAAATTTCTTTCACTCCCCCCTCCACCAACCACTGGGGTCTGACATGTGCATTAGTTGTGTTTTTATGACAAGAGAAAAAAAATGAACAAAACAAACAAAAAATTCCCCATAGAAGCAAACCACTTTGCATCCAGTTTCTTCTTATGTTTTTAAGAGGAAAAACAAAATCTTTAACTTTGGCAATCCCATAATGCAAAGTGGGAACCGATGGCAGCTCTGCAGGGGTCACCCAAGGTCAAACAGGTGCGAAAATTTTCCTTTTACTTCCACACAGCAGCCACAAGCTAATCGTAATGCTTTGTGCTGGATTATACTCGGATTAATTTCCATTTTGCCAGCAGCTCAACTGCAAAGTGTAATGTTTTACACTGTTAACAAGTTACAGTTTTAGCTAGGTAGTAAATGTTTATTTATCTTAGCTTTAGGATTTTCGTTTTCCTTTGTTTTTCTTTATTCACAACATCAGCAACACACCAGCCAAGCAGCTTGCTCATATGCTACACCACACATTCCAGAGCCGTGTACAGTAATAACATTCACTAACACTAACATGTATAGCGAGCACCCTCTAGTATAGTTCACTCCCTTGCCTTCTATTACTTGCTGAACTGAGCACACTGCACCATGAGGATACAGAAGATGGCAGCACAACCGTCTTACCCTGCATGTTCACTCCTCCTTGCATGAAGCATGCTTAACACACATTGCAATTGCATCTCATCTCTGCTACACATACATACAGTCGCATGTGCAATATTCCTCTAATGATAAAAGTTAAACACAGTTTGGCACTTTCTAAGGCCACACCAAGATGCCATGTAAATTCAAGTTGAATGTGTACATGTATGTTTCTTTCATTGTCTGCCATAATTGTAATGGGAGGATTTATACAAACTTCCACCTTCAGACAGGAAATATTCCTGTATGTCATTTCTCCAAAGTTACCTCGCTACACATGTTCCAGAAATATCCGTCTGTGTTCTCTGAAGTACAAAATGAATCTGTAACTTCACTGTGATGAGAATAATCAAAGAACCTAAAAGTGAAACTAAGAATCCTTTTCTTGACTCCGTTTTTCTTGTAGAATGGTTGATCTCCTAATAACCTTGAATGGTGTGGCCTTAGAAGTGTCCTAGCACGGTAAGAACTCCCGAGCATGTTTTGTGAGCTTGTTGGGCGTTGACTCCTTTCAGAGTCTGCACACCCCTGAAAGTCGCTACCCTCCCACACCCAAGGGTGAAGCTGAGGTCATCGATGTGTCCTTCAGCAAGAACAGCTCCGGAATGGGACTCAGCATTGTCGCAGCAAAGGTGAGAAATGGATATCAATTAGTATTTCATATTCATGAACTTCAGGTAGTTTGTGTTGTCCAATGTCTGTTGTGAAAAAATTACTGCACACATGTATGTCCTTGGTAACTCTGTTGCTTTCTACAAGGTTTTGAGTAAAGTATATTATATTAAGTCACAAACAAATAAACATCTGCAGTTCCGCAAGAAAGTTTCAAAGGGTCCAAACGTGTCTTGTGTTTTGCTTAGCCCAAAGACTACCTTCTATCATATTATGTATTCGAAAACCATGATCTACAGTGGTCAAAACTTCAGGATCCTTTAGACTAGACACACATTTTGAAAGATGAGTGTGAGTCTGAGAATAAATTTGTAGCTCTGTCAGTCAGATAGCTGGTCTAGCTTGTATAGCCTACTTTGTTGTTGACTATAATTGTGCACAGATACAGAATGGTGTTGTACGGTCAAAATGTGAAGAATTTCTACCTGTCTGTTTGCATCAAATATTTTCAGTAAGCTTGCATTCTAAGCATAGCAACACACATTCCTTTGGGCTGAAATGCTGCAGTTTTTATAGTTTTGAATGGTGGACAATTTGAAATAACTGTGAAATGTGAATAGATGACATTACTATGTCTGTCAGGTCGTAATTATTGTCTGGGTGGGGTACTGCATTCCAGTCTTAAATATTTGACACTAAAGCATCATCTCTGCAAACAATAAACGATTATGTCTTGCTGCCCCTTCGAGCTTTCTGGTTTTGTTCACATACAATAGCAAGAACTCGTGTTGAAATTTATGGGCTTAGTAATAATACGTTTGAAACACCTTTGAAAAATTAGATTGATTTTATTTTGTCAGTTGTTGGCATGACTCCGACCTCTGCTTTCAGTTGTCATTACTTATTCATGTTCTGATAACCTAGATTTTGGAGAAAAAGCTCAGTTTGTTGTATTTCTAGAGAAACTGTTGGATTACTTTCAGTTGCGATAGAGTGATGGTTGTTTTTCTAAACTCAAGGATGTACAACTGTCACTTTATACTTTAATCAACATAAATATCTTCCACAATAAGGACAATTTAAGTCATGTAGCTTTACATGTGTATGCTTCTTGCACATGGAAAGCAATGGCTACAGTAATGTTGTTGTTGAACACTGCACCTTTGTCGTGCAGTAGCCAGAGACTTTTATGGACGAAAGAACACAGAACAAAAGGATAGGCCACACCTGTGGCAATAGGAAGTATAGTACTACTATTGAGTAGCTACATGACATGTAGTATTCTGGGGTCGGGAAAATACAGTTAGAATTGCTAGAGAAAGCTCTTACTGTAGTTTTTACATTTTGTACTCTTTCAATTGACTTCTTTGGTGGTCTGTATTTTGATGATAGTCTGAAGAATATGACACCAAAACAGGTTCATGGAAATGACAGCTCTGTAAATTACCGGTAACTTCTTGGAATCTTTGAAGATGGTTGCTAATTTCACTCCAAACATCATGAGACCACTAACTGGAAGTCAGGGGAAGTTGTACAGGATAAGGTACAGAATATGTCAGTGATTGGCACACAGTGTTAATGTCTGAGTAAATATTGTTGTTTAAGGGACAACCAGTATCCGTTTGATGTCTTAGTGATCAAATCAAGCAGTGCAAATAAGGAAAAGCCTAATTCTCCATACAGTTTAACAGGTTTAACAGTGTAATGTTATCAAACTGAAGGATTTTAAACTAATGCATAGATTGAACTGATCTTGTTGTAAATTTGAAATTCATGATGCATTTTTTCAGTGTCCTAGCAGGAAAAGAAGATGTTACTAGTGGCAAAATCTGATACAAAAGTTGGCAGTTTTAAATCACTCATACTAGAGTCAGTTGTCATGAATTACAAAATATTATCAAATACTTATACCTCCAACTGTTTCAAAGATCCCCCTTACACACTTATTCCAGAGGGAAATGTATCGACCAACTGGTACTTGTGTTGTTTCAGCTTCCTCATTGACTGTCATTTTAGAACCAGGCCATATTGGCTAAATACCCTCCACACCCCACTCCCCAATGATACCCAATACAGTTGTTTTGAAGAGCATCTCTGAAGAAGAAGAAGAAAGGCCATTGAGATGGTGGCTACAGTTGTTTCAGTTCAGACAGGTGCTGTCCACTGCCACTTGAAAATCGGCCATTGAGTCGTGACAGAAACCCTTCAGTCAATGATCATACCAGCCTGTATGTTCAGGAGAAAACTGAACGGCGGTCAAAGTTTACAGAGCACCTCCGTGGGAAAAATGCATGGGTTCTAATCTGCCCCGTTTGCACAGGGTAACCAGGTAGCTCGTAACAGCGCTATAATAAACTGCCATCATTCACTGGTCGGTACTGTCAAACACACTGTTAGGGATGTAACAACACGGCGTAATTTCATTTACAGAGCAAGCTAGCTCAGTTCTGGGCGGCTTCACACCGCTTCTGCCCCTGCCATGTCCGTATTTGGCATGTAAGCCAATACCTGGCCCGCCATTCTTTGAAGTGTTTTCTGTTGCCCTGGTGACCACAATTAGGCATGAATGGGTGAGCTTACATTTCGTGTGCACAATGTGCCGCCGACATTGAGCCCACCTCGTGGAGTGGAGCTCGCTTGTTTTCCCCTCTCGGCACAAAGCTGTGCATTCCGCGGCACGATTTTCTGCAGGTTTTTGGCCTTTAGGTTGGTGTTGAGGTAAAACTTGGTGCCACTTCCCCCTCCAGACTCGTCTCGCCAGGGACTAGGTAAGGCTGCAATTCTTGTGCACTTGTTTAAGGTGATGGTAGATTTGTGTTTGCAAGTTTTTGAAGCACAGGTGCGCCTGAAGAGGCTGTAACCCAACCCCCTACCTTCGGCTGTGGGGCAGTAGCGTAGCGTCGGTTCTCCACTTTAGATTCCAAACGACTCTTGCCTCAGCTATCTTGCTATCTGTGCATGAGAAGCTGATTGTCGTTCATTTGAAAAGGTTAAAGTGTCATTGTTGTTAAGAAAACGTCCTTGCTTCTTTCTTTGATGACAGGAAGGTTTCTTTTGATGCCACCCATAATGCCAGGCTAATGAGTGTCAACTTCCCATGCAACATTAATGATTGTCTTAGCTTCAGAGCATTATCTCAATGGAAGGTACATCAAACATAATTACATAATTTATAATTTTTTCAGTTCACTGACCATATATTCAGTATATCTCAAGTGGCTGCCATGTGTTTTGTTTGCAGTCTGGTTTTTGTAGATTTAGAACAGGCTTTCCTGTATTCATTCTCAGCCTAATGATCACAAATTACATTTAAATTCTTTTCTCACAACCTTTCCTCATGCTAACAGTAAGAGCTTAGTCTGTAAGGTGTTTGACTCACCGGGGAAAAAGGAACAGATCAAAGACATTTTTCACAGGCAATGGCTTCACTCCCATCTCTCCACGTTAGCAAAGAACTATTGTCCTTACGTCGCCCTAAAGAGTGTAGATCACTTCAAAAATTCAAGCTGACCCAGACTAACAAAGACTGCTTTAACAGCGATCGATAAATGCCAGTATTGTCCAGGAGGGTCGGCCTTAAGTCAACCATTCCTGATAACCCGTGTTTACATGTACCTAGGAGCAGTGTCAATCGTTTTGTCTTTTATCCACTGCAACTTTCCTAAAAGGGAAAGACTTACAGAAGGACTAAAGCAGGTGCTCCCAGAGAATATGCTGACATGCTCTCTTTCTTTCCTTTTACATGCCCAGTTAGCAGACTCAAAATACCTTCTTAGCATAGTTAAGAAGTTTTCTAGGGCAGCCCTGGAACTGAAACCTAGTAGTGTTCTCTGTTCTATTCTCATCGTCACGTTCTGACATTTAGAATTCTGTGATATGACTAGTATTCCGTTGTAGCCCTACAACCATGACAGCTCAGCAACGCTTGGGTTAAGTATGTGGCCTAGTTCTTATTCTTCAGTGACTTCATGTGGAGAGACATTTTGCAAGACATAGATCACAAAAGTCATTGATCATACAGGAATTACGTTTTGCAAGCAACAATCGAGCCTGAATGGCATTCTTGTTATTGGTTTGTGATGAGGCATTTTCCTCCAGCAAATGTTGATGTATTCCATGCATTTGCAGCCAGGCTTCAAAGTTTGGCTGTGCAAAGTGCACATTCTATTGCCCGCATCATGTTGCCTTTACCCCTCTATTGAACTGTCACATTCAACAGGAAGAATAGACAACTATTAACCAGTTATTGACCAATCTTTCTCACATCTAGATTCAGAAGTACCTGTTATAGTTACTGAATCATGTACATGTAAACAGGCCACAAACTTAGCCACCTCCCACCTGTGTGTTCAGTTCATGAGTCCAGAAAAGAGAGCTAACTGTATGATTCAAGCAATGTTTACCACCCAGGCACTACCGGAAAGACAGGTGAAAGAATCTGAATCTAGATAGGGCTGCGTTGTTCTCTCTCATTCATAACCGCTATAATCAAGCAACATTCTATGTTTGTTTTTGGTTACTCTACCTTGTTTTCATTTGGTACTGCAGTTGGTGAAGGTCAGATTAAAAGGACAATTTTATAAAGTGTAATGAGGTTCAGGTCTATGCCAAGTTGTGCTGATTGTTATTATAACTCGCCATAGCAACTGTTCATACCAGTAGATATTCAATAACAAGCGTATTTCCCATTCTATGCACACAAGCAAATCTAGGTCTCTGGGCTATTGTATGGCTGTACAGGGATGGCATGTTGCTTTTGGCATCGCAGGAATGCAGTGTCAAATTCTCCCTCTTTGTTTTCTCCACATACAATATGTTTTGTGTCCGCGTGCATGTGCTGTATTCACTTTCATCATACAATATGGGTAGGCCACCCCCAATAACAAAGTAGACTAGTCCATCTCTTTCACCCAGACAGTATGAATGAAGAAAACTGGTGAATAGCAGAAAGACGTTTTTTCTACATCTTGAAGTTACAATAAGATGTCCTTGTTTTTGACTGACATCTTTATTGACTTTT